ATACTACCCGCCTCTAGGATGAATGCGCTAAAGCAACGTGAGGTCAATTCTTTACTCAAGGAAATTTGCGGATAACATAAATGTTGTCCGTTCAGTAGACCCGAACCCAGTACTGTGAGTTCAAAATCGCCCTCTTTGCCACTGGGTCTTCCCAGCCAAGACTGTCAGCCCAATGAGAGGCAACCACAGAAACTTTGATTTGTCCCGTAGGTAGTCCATCAACCCGTGACGCAAAAGCGCTGCGTTTAACCAAAATTAAAATTATAAAATTTACAAATTTAAAATGTTACAATTAATAAAAAGCAATTATGGGAAAAACACGTAAATCAAAACCTTTCGATTTCCTTTCGACCTGACACGTTCGTCACGGCAGCGATGTAACGCATGATAATTTTGGAGGCTTCGGTTTTTCCAGATCCACTTTCACCTAAAAATTGCTTTCAATGACAAGAATGACAAAAAGTAATTTACTACTTATGCCAGTGTCAAAGTTTAAAGAACAACGCTCGAAGCCTCTTCGAATTAAACTGTACTTTTTCACTGTCGGATAAGCTCCAAAAAAATGACGTCAATGAAGAAAAATTCGGTCGCGAATTTCATCAACCAGATTAAAGAATGTCTATGTTTTTGCCACAGTGGATCTGTAACGAAGATCAACAGCCTCTGCATGCGTGTGTACGATGGCCCACTAACTTTATGCCACATTACTTGAATTTTGTGAATGCAAAGTAATCTTAGATAGGTGGCTGTGCGATTCATGATTCATGGCATCAAATGCAACATATGGAAAAACTGTCAACGCGTTTCGGTACATAGACCGTAACATCATCAGGGCTGGACTGAGTAAAAATGAATGCTTGAAGACACTTACGCCCAACAAGCGAACAATACCATTTGTCAACTGGCTTATCGTATTCAATCAAAACGTTGTTAACCTGACTGAACAGAATGTTAACCAGCAAACAGAGCATAATGGTCATATTAAAAAAAATTAGTTGTTGCTACGATGACCCAATTTTGTGTATCAATTTTACAACTGCGCCTTAGTTTTCATTAATAACCACAGATGTGCATTCATTGCTAGTACATGCAATGACTCCGTTATCAGCAGACTTAATTTAGAATGGTCTTTGTCAATGACAGACGCATTGATCTGACTGAGTGTCCTTCGGCGATCGCATGAAGGGCAATAGCGGAATGGTTTGCTTGCCAAGACAGATGAATATTCAACGTCCGATTGGTCTTTCCAATGTAAACCTTATCGCAGCTTCTGCAGTGAATTCCCTGTACAATATTTAATACTTCTTTCGGGTTAATGGGCAGACACTTTTTAAATAAAATGTTGCCCACTGTTCTGCCGGTTTCTTAGTGGACTCTAGACCACATGATATTAAGGCACCTTCTGATGCGTTGAAATTCCGGGAGTATGAACGGTAAATTACCACTGGTCTACATGAACTGGCAATCTCTAAGTTTGAGCATAGGTGCAAAAGTTCTTCGCCAAGGATCTTCCTTCCATAACCATTCATGAGAAACACTGAGTGCAGATGCTGAATTTCTGCATTTAGGCCAGAAATGGTAGTACAGGTTTCTTGGGCTTGTAAACGCATGTTCCTCATAATGTTCTTAAACAAATCAGGAGAGACACATGATACCAGGTGGTGGCATCGGTTGGAGTTTGTTGGTTTCCGATATACGGAAACCTTGAATTCAAATGATGGTGTTCTCTTCATTTCACGCAAAGTAGTCTTCTTTCAGCTTGTCTTTATAAATTTGCTTCGTGGTTTTGTACAGATTTTGGCAGAGGATCGTTTGTTCTCTGTTTTTATTTGTTGGTTTTAAGGGTACATTTGCAATATATTATTTGAAATGCAGTGATATTATGTTTTATGGTATTCTTTGAAGAACCGATTCAAGCAATAAACTTTCATTCATTCATTTCACCCAAGATTAAAGAGAAAGGGCAAAAATCCCTTTAGTATCGTGAAGGCTCTTAATCGAATTTAGAACGTCCTAAAAAATTCGACAAACCAAAAGCGTTATTTACTCTTCGATTCTGTCTTTTTATTTTTGCACGAAAACATTACTGTTCTAAAAGAGGTCCACTTCGCACCGTTTAAAACACACCGGCAGATGGCATCATTTTACTGCGCTTAATCTGACTGCAAATACACAGTTCTTTGGCCCAGGTGATTTCGGTTCATATTCAACAGTACAACGTCGATTGAACAGCGTTCTGTAAACAAATATGCATTGCTTCTGTGTAATTCTGTTAGGTCATGCACATAATAGCACTTGGGTCATGACGGGGAGCCATAAAGCGTCACTGGGAGGGGGGGCAGTGACGCAATGAATTAATAATTCGATTTACACTTACAAAGTGCCGAATTAAAATCTTACGCAGGAGGCAAATTTTCTCCTATAAACCATTAATTCCCTTGAATAAAAAGTTTCTCGACTGCGCATCTGTACAACCAGCTGAAAAGCGAATGGCAGATCGTTGACCTACGAATAATAGGGACAACATTGTGTTTAGGCGTGGTTATGTCAAAGCGTGAAACACATACAGTCATACTGTCAGATGGGTGC